TTTTTTTTTTTTTTTTTTTTTTTTTTTTTTTTTTAATTTTGAGGCAGGTGTGCTTTCTTTGGCAGCACATATACTAAAATTTGGGGCAGGCCCTCTTGCTAAGTCACTAAATTTTCCAGGCTGAGTTCAAACTTATGATGTTTCTGCCTCAGCTTGCCAGAGAGCTGTATAAGAGTGCACTGACATAGCTGCCTTAGATTTTACTGCTCCATTGTTACCACACATTTTAGGTGAGAAGTTTCTGGATTAATAATTCTAGAAAGATTAAAAGAAGAGGAAAAGTAAACAACTCTAGTTGAAAAACAGATGACTCTAAAGAAAGAAAAAAGTACAAGTAGGACTAAAAATATCAGTATGCTCATGTTAAAAAGGATAGACAGGAACTGCAATATTTCCACCTGTTTATATTAGAAAACCTTTATAGAAGTGTCTGTTGCTCAGTCAATTTTATTAACGAAGGAATAATTTATACAGGAGGAAGAGGGCAGGGTCATTCTCTCAGTTTACCCATTTGAAATACTGGGGTTATGGATAATAATGATATCATACAAGATGGGGCTTTGATTATTTTAATTTTTATAAAACTTACCTGAGCAATTGCATCCTTGAGTTGATTGTATTTCTCTAAGTCAAAACGTGACTTTTTGGCTCCTTTATGGAAAAATAGTAAGTATTGTCTGTCTCTGGCTTCTGGATAAACATACTCCTATAAGAAAAAAAGAAAGTAAAAAAACTATGAGCCTTTAGCATACTACCCTCATGAAATAAGTATTTACTGTTGATTAGACTTGATATATATGCACATTGTACTGTTAAATATTTAACTATTTCTTAAACTTTATATTTTTGTTTTTCAACATGAGCTTTCACTATATTGCCCAGACTGGCCTTGAACTCCTGGGTTAAAGGGATCCTACTGGTGCACTCCATGCTGAGATTCCGCTCCACTTGCTGCAGTCTACTCATTTCTACTGTTAGGTTATATTCTACTGTATGACTATATCACAATTTATCTATCCATTGTACCGGAGATGGGCTATGGAGTTACTTCGCGGTTTGGGCTTTTATGAATAACTCTCAAGAATATTTCTGGACTTGTCTCCTTTGAGCCTGTATCTAGAAGTGGAAATCTCTGCTTACAGAGCATGCATGTATTCAAACTTAAGAAGTGATAGCAAAGAGGTTTCTGAAAGTGGTTGTACCAGCTATACTGTCAGCAAGATACGAGATTTACCGTAGCTCCATATTCTTGCCAATATTTAGTGTTGCAGTTTAAAAATGTCAGCCATTCTAGTGTGTGTGCAGCAGTACTATTCTTTTTTTTTTTTTTTTTTTTTTTTTTTTTTTTTGGTACTGGGTTGGAACTCAGGACTTCACACTTGGGAGGCAGGCACACCACCACTGAGCTAAATACCCAGCTATATTAAAATACAATTCACATATAATTTCCATTTAAAGTATAATATTCTATGGTTAGTAATATAATCTGCAACCATTTACTTAAAACATTTTCATCACTTGAAAAAGAAACCCTGTATATGTTTAACAGTTACTTTTCATCTCACCTAATGCTACTAGTTCTAGGTAACTACTAACTCACCTTCTGTTTGTACAGATTTGCCTATTTTGGACATTTCAATTAAGAGGCCTCTTTCATTTAGCACATTTTCAAGCCTCATTCATTTGTTGCACATAACTGTAACTAATTTTTTTATTGCCAAATAATATTCCTTTGAATGGATATACCATATCTTATTCATTCATTCATTCATCAGTTCATAGTGTTTGGTTTCTACTTTTTGGCTATTAAGAATAATGTTGGGCTGGGAATTTAGCTCAGTGGTTCCACCGCCTTTCTCACAAGTGCAAGGACCCAAATTTGATCCCCAGTACAAATAAAAAATGCTGCTATGGAACATTCATGTGCAAGCTTTAGTGTGGACATGATGTTTTTATTTCTTTTGGAGACAAAGAATATTTTCCTGATCATTCATGGGGTTTAGGCCTTTTCATTTCATATATTACTGGCCTTTTGCATATCTTTTTAGAAGTACCATTTAAAATCTCTTGCCATTTTCCTTCTATTGGTGTCTCTTTCTCTTACCAATTTGTAGGATTTATTTATTCTGGATATAGATTCTTTGTTGGATTTACAAGGGGGAATCAAAATATATGGTGAATATTAAGAAATTTTATTATAGTAAAAGACACATTGGCATTAATCCCTCTCAAACTACTCCCAGGTACCAGGTATCAAACTCAGGACCTTGCCAGGCAGGCACAGCGCCACTGAGCTATGTCCCTGGCCCCTTTCCTTCACTTTGAGCACCCTCACTCTTTCATGCCAGTTTTTGAAGCAGTTCTGGAAGTCTTTTTTCATGGATGCATTTAGAAAGTGTGATAAAAAAATATAGTGAATGCTGCTTCCAAGCTCCATCCAATGGAAAGGCAGCTCTGTAAAAACATTGTAGTGAGTCCTCATCCACCTTACTGGATCTGGCACTATGCAACTTCTGACTCTTCCTCTAGGTAAATGTTTTGTATCAATTCTGGACGTGGAGGCAGCCGTGACAGGGCATCTACAGATACTCATGGGAGGGCTTCCAGACCCTCAGGAAGTGCTAAGATGATGGGGTGTATATTTGAAGAGGGGATATTTTGCGGGGGATTAACTGCAACGTCTTTTACTGTAATACAAATAATAAACAATAACTAAACATTCACTATATTTATTTTTTATTATATTGTGTCATCTCTCCCTCTTTCTCTTTTTTTTTGCATTCCTGATGATTGAACCCAGGCTCTTCCTACTCAGCTACATACCCAGCCTTTTTTATTTTTGAGGTGTGGTTTTCTTAAGTAACTAAGTTGCCTAGGTTAGGTGTGAATGTGTGATCCTCCAGCTCAGTCTCTCAGAGATCAGGACTGCAGAAGTGTGCCTCATGCCTGGCTACAAATGTATCCTTTTATCCTGCTCACCTTCTTCATGATGTTCTTAAACACATCAAAGTTAAGTTTTTGATGCAGTCTCACTTTTTATTCTTACCCCTTATGGTTAGTGCTTCTCATTCTGTGTAAGGAGTCATTCTGTATTCCACAGTCATGAAGATATTCCCCCATGTTATCTCCTAGGAGCTTCACTGTGTTTTCATATTTATATCTATAATCTATCATGAATCAATTTTTGCTTATAGTGTAAAGATAGGGCCATCTCATTTTATATGGATATTCAATATCTATAACACCACCGTCCTAACATCACTCACTGAAAAGACCTGCTTTCTTTGGATTGCCATCTTTTAAAAATCAGAAGTCATTTATATTGGGTCTGTTTCTACTCTGTTGCCTATTTGTTTATTTGTCTATTCTTGTGCCACTGTCTTCGCTACTGAAGTGTTAAATTAGAGTAGTAGTCTGGATAGCTCTTGAAGCAAATCTGCTTACTTCAAGAGTTTTTTAGTTTTCATATCCTTTACATTCTGTATCAATTTCAGAAGCAACTTATTCAAATCTCTTTCCTTATCCCTAGACCTACTGAGATTTGACTAGGATCATACTGATTGTAAAAGATCAGTTTGGGTAGAATGGACATTTCTGCAATATTTACTTTTTTAAGTCTGTGAATATAATATATTATTCCACTCACTAAGTCTCCTTTATGTTTTTCTACACAGAGGCTTTGCACATATTTTGTATGATGTATCTCTTACCTCTATGTATTTTAAAAAGTAATTTTAAGGGCTGAGGATGTAGCTCAGTGATAAGAGTGCTTGCCTAGCAGGTGGTAAATCCTAAGTTTGAACCCTAGCACTGGAGAAAAAAAGTCAGGCTTCCTATTCAAGCTGAATAGCTGTGTTTTCACACCATTTCCAGACAATGAAGGGATAACAGAACATCTCGTGTACTTGTGTACTCCAAGAGTACATGCCATTACTGTTGTATATTTTAATTCTTCCTGTACTCTAAATTCTGTAAGAGTTTATAATTATTTTATAATTTAATATCCATTTAGATTCACTTACAGATTTATAATTTTTATTACCTTCATTCCTTCCCTTTTTTTTCACTTTCTGTGATAATCTTCCTTCTGCTCAAAGAACACAGTTTAGTGTTTTATTTAGTATGGATATGATGATGGTGAATTCCCTATTTTTCTGAGAAATGTCTTATTTTATTTTTGTGGTTTTTCTTCCCCCTTTGGTGCTGGGGATTGAATCCATGCATATTAAGCAAACTCTCTATTAATGAGCTACATCCCCAGGCCTCTGTTTCACCTTTATTTTGAAAAGATATTTTTTGCTATGTATACAACTCCAGGCTGAAGGTTATTTTATTTTCATTGCTGAACGTATCACTCCACTGTCTTCTGGCTTTCATCGTTACTGCTGAGAAGTCAGCTTTCAGCCCTCTGAAAACATGCTTTTCTTTCTCCTTTGGCTGCTTTTAAGATTTTTTCATTTGGCTTTGAGTTTTGAAATTTTGCTACTAACGTGTCTAGATGTGGATTTCTTTTCCTTTATATTGGTTGGTATTTGTTAAGAATTCTTAAATCTGTAAAGTGATGTCTTTCATCATTTTGGAAAATTTTCAGCCATTACCTCTTAAAATAATTTCTTTTCAATCGCTCTCTTCTTCTAAGATGCCAATAACATTAAATACCTATCAGGCCTTTTCACTGTATCACCTGTATCTCTTAATCCTTCCTGTATTTTACACCTTTTTGTCTTTCTCTATGTCATATTGGATGGCCCATTGTGCACTATTACATGGTTTTTCTCTAGCAATGATCAGTAGCCTCAATACAGGATGAAGGGATTGATTAATTTCAAATAAAAGCTTTGTAGAGTACATGTGATAGAAAGACAAAGGCAAAGAGACTGTAGGATACTAAGAACAGAATAGCAATCAGTGCAGGGGACTGTAATATTGATTATGCCCAAAGCAGGCTGTAAGGAGTTAACCCCACAACTGGCTTGTTTACAGAAGTGAGGCCGGCTGAAGCTTAGGCAACAAGGTCAGGGTAACTTGCACCCAAATTCCGTTTCCACAACTAAAACGTCCTGACTAGAAGGACAATATTTTAAATACAACCATAAATTTTGCCCATTCTGTTCCTAATTCAAGAATGCTTTGACTCATTTTTATGAGCCTTGTTTACATTAATTTTCCTAGAAACTGCACGTTGCTTGCCTTTAACCTGACTGACAATAAGTCAGTGCCTGGGACTGGCCAGCACCTTTGTTGGTTGCACTGGCATTGGTCATCCTGGAACCCAGATTTTTCTCTCCTAGTTCTGTCTTTTAGTTTTATTTCTCAGGCCTGCATCATACTGGGCAGGGAACTGGAAACTAACTGCAGGATATCTGGTAAATTGGTTTAAGTGAGATAGAAAAGGAAGCAACACAGGAGGTATGTGATGGTGAAAAGTTAAGAGAAAGACATCAGTAGCCTAATGGTCTTAACATCAAAGGAGACAGTGAGTGAATAAAAGTGGGAGAAATAAAAGAAATTATGATCAGAAGTTAGCATACTGATTTATAAGGGAGAAAGTTCTAGAGGGTCCTAAATGGCCACTTCCTAGAGAAGAATATAAATGATTGATGTTGAAATGGAAAAAAAAAACCCAACACTTCAAATAAATGAAGGTACTAAAGGTTAGCTTCCTATTTTTCAATACTGCTTTTAATTACTGCCCCTTAAGAGTCTTCTCTAGACATTTTTTAACCTGATTTTCCTCCTTCTCAAAGAATAATATATTCTGTATATCTATTTATATATTATAAGATCTGTGATGTTTTTTACTCCCCCAAACCCAACTTTCACCCCTCTCAATATCCCTCTTCTTGAAAAGGCCTGGGCTGGATTGTGGGCTGGGTGGTCCACAAGAATTATGCAGTAACTCTGCATTTTCACTGCCAGGCTCCTTTTCCATATAATGGAGACAGGTGCTCGGGTCTCATTGGAATATTGGTAAAATTCAATACTGCACTGGATTTTAATATTTCAAAGAGATGGTTATTTTATAAAGATTCTATTGGGATGTAGTTAAACTGCTAACAAATGCTACAACTCAGTGTGAGTTTAAAAGATGTTAAATCCTATTGAATAGGTATTTTGCTTCACAGTGTTAATTATGGATACTAGTTAGGTAAAGGATATTTAATATAAAAAATAGCCTTCTATTTGGTCAATGTTTTCTGGTTCTAAGTGAATAGTGCCAAATATTTATTGCTGCTGTTTTGTGTAACTTGTCACTTGAGGGAAGCCACAGTCTGGGAATCACGAAGTGGCGCATATAACGAGTTAAGACAGACAAAACATTAAAGATTCTACCACATGATAATGAGAAAAAAGGGATGACCTTGTGTTCACATGAATACCTGCATTATCTTACAGTTGAAGAAAACATTTATAAAACAGAGCTATTTGTAAGCTGTAATTATTCTCCAATATGTTTCTATTTCTATTCTAGATTCAGACTATTTGTAATTTTCAGAAGTAACTACTCAGAAATAAAGTCAGTAGAATACAGTACTTATCCTCACTGAGCCTCAGTTCCTCAGCTATAAAATGGGTATTTATCTATTTGTTGAAGCA